TTAGGGACTCCGAATTTCTTCCGTTTTTCATACATCTGGATCATTCTCCTAGCTCGGTTATGCTTAGCTTGGAAGGTCTTCAACGGAACATCATACACTAAAGAATATAAAACGCATAGTAAATTTACAGCAGTAAGGAATATAGAAAGGAAAAGCAACTCACTAAATAATCAACAAAAATCACAAATCAAAGCATTCATTTTGGGACGCATACTAAGATACTTAGATATTTTGCCAATCAAATCACTGAAGTTCAAGTCCGTGATTAGCTCAGTGGCGGAAAAAATTGTCGTATGCTTCCGGTTATTGAAACACAACATGCATTCAACTACATAGAGCAAGGCAAACTATCAGCTTAAAGAAAAAGTAATCATAACACAAAATACAAAGAAGAAGAGGCAAAAGGGAACAAAACAAAGATCTTCAGAACCAAATAAGTTTCATAATAATACCAATCCTTAGCAAAATACAATAATAGAATAGGAAACCCCAAATAAGCATTAGATTCTTGTCTGCTCTGCATGTACAGATTCAATTATGGAATACGCAGTTCAAAGTTGAAAGTGATTTAGGTTAGTAGCCCCTAATTAAATAACGCACACATAGAGATACCAAACAGCGCTGCAGGTAAGCTGTTTCTTCCTTCTTAAGTTTGCCTGTCTCTATATTCAACTTCGACTATTAATAATGATGATCTTCCATAAAGTAAATGATAAGTTTCCAATGAGAGAGATCGATTCAACTGATTCTAAACTTCCAATAAAGAAAGACAACGGTATCACAATTTCCCCTAGCTGTATGCGGCAAATAAAAACACAATAGAGTAAATATTCAATCCAGCTTCCTTGCTCTAGGCCAAGTACAGACCAATAATAGCACCAAAATGACAAACGGTCTCCAAACCTGCTGCTATTCCCTCCCCACAGCCAAAATCAGCCCATATATAATAATAGAAAATAAAAGAACAACATACTTGGGACAGAAACAACACGCACTGCATACAACCATCGCACCGCCAAAAAAAACTTCCTTCTCCTCCGAGCTAAATTTGCAATATGACGATCAACGCGAGTGAGCCGATCTTTCAACTTGCAGATAACTATCATTAAGAAGTAAAACAGGGAAGAACATCTTAAAATCAAGTCAATGTATACCGAGACAAAATTTCCTTTTAAATGCAATCAGAATCGATAGTATATAATACATGAAAAAGAAAATGAGTATGTTGCCAGTCCAAAAACTTTGAGCTGAACTTCACTTACCACCCTCAATTCGCAGCCTCTCTGCATCGACTTCAGCAAGTGTCAGACTTTCATGAGAGATACAAATAGCTCTCCCTTTCCCTAACAAACACACAATGAAATACATGCTTGAAATTAAGGTTCACTGCAGAATCTACATGACTTTGAATCAAAAAGAAACCTTACTAAGTGCGGAAGGAGTATATTACATCGAATAGGACCAGGATTAGACTTCAATGAACGATGATTTGCGGCAAAAGAAGGTTCCTCGCGCTGACGCTTGGGCCTCATTGCTGCATAACCAAAAGAAAACCAATTGCAACATAAGTGAGCTCATGACACTGATGCAAAGGTAAAAGAATGGAAAGAAACCAAAAGCAAGAATTCCTCTTATTCAATTCTGTTCTGTTACCTCACTATTGGAGGTTAGTTTGGCATTACTAAAATTGAAATTTAATCCCCTAATACAGACTCTCTATGATTTGATGCAAAATGGAAGGGCCAGAAAAGGAAGAGGCTTATTTGAACTAATTGCTTAACAGTTTCAAAATATTAACGCATACCCAAATAAAGATTGACGGTGGGAGCAAGATGCACCGACAGACAACCACCGAGACCAGGATTTGTTGGAGACACCGTTCCTAAGCTCAAATACACAGAACAATCCGCAGCAATATCCAGCCAACTTGGAAGACAGCCAACCCAACAACAAACACACCTGAGCTAGTAGAAGTGATGGAGACACACGTCCTAGGCTCAAATACGGGAAACAATCAGCAGCAATATCCAGCCCAATTTCAAGTCACAGCACCCAAAAACAAACACACCAGAGCTAGGAGAAGTGCAAGCGGAAGATTGAGTGCGATTTGAAGATATGTTTCCCGACCTGGAGCTTGAAGAGATGAGCAGACCAAGACCCAAGATACCTTCGAATGTGCAATTCAGCGCCAAATAAAGACGGTCAGAAGGTCTTCGTTATGCAGAATGCATATGCTTTTGCGTCGTTTTCCTCAATCAAACAGACCCAAATTCGGAAAGGGTTTCGGGATGCAATACCTGTGCGATTGGAGAAGTAATCCCGCCCTGTTGCTTCAAACCAAGAGTAGAGAAAGGCCCAGCAGAGCTTCTATTCTCCGATTCCACGCCACAGAAGGACAGCAAGCAAGATTTGGTTGGGGAAAACGGGAAGAGAAGTTCGGCTACAAATCGAGGACGATTCGGAGAACTAATCCCCTCCCGTAGCTTAAAAACATGCACACAGACCCAGCGTTTCCGATTCAACGCCAAAGAAGAACGGGAAGAAGGATTTCGTTGGGGAAGAGCGATGACGGCTACACAAAAGCGTCGATTTCCGGTTTCAAATTGGAAGACGGCGAGGAGGAAAGCGAAGCTCCGGAATTTACTAAACTGACCCTCCGAACTGAGCGGGTTAATTAGCGGGGGCTTACGTGGCAAAGCAGCCTTATGCACATTGGCTTATAATATTTTGTAGACATAATTCATGTCTTATTTTGTTATTCAATTTCGCTTCTCGTTCCAAAATGCCACCTAAATTTCTTTTTCCTTGATATATATTGTCGTCCACTTTTTCCTTCCCGCTCCAAAAGGCTGCCCAAATTTTCATTTGAATTGATCTATATTGCCCCCCAATTTCCGTTTGGGTTAATTTATATTGCCGCCCAAAAATGTTGAGATAGAAAAAAATGTTTTTCTTCTTTGCTTTTAGAGTAGTGTTTTGTTATCTGAATGTATGGTTTGTTAATAGTGTCTATTGTTTGCAAATGTTGATATCGCCATTACTGTTAGCTAGTCTACTTTACAAATTATCATTAATTACATGACAAGTTTGCAAATCATACAAATTGATTCAACATTTTCACTAGTTTTTTTTTAATTTAAGTATATATACGAGGTAGAAAGAAATTGGTTAAAAATTGTGAAAAATATTTTAAATTAGTGTAATAAAATGTGTAAATATGAGTGAGTAAGGAATAAGTAACTCGATGCGTTGACCCGAACAACCCACAATTCGATTCGCCCCGCAACCTGCCTGTCCCGAAATCCAATGAACCCACAACTCGATTTGCCCACAACTCGATTGAACCCAAATCGATGAACCTGCTACCCAACTAACCCGCAACCCGATTGAACTCGAACCCAATAAACGTGCAATCCAATAAACCCAAAATCGGACTAACCCGCAACCTGATTGAACCCACCCGAACCTGTCCAATTGACACATCTACTAATTACTTTTTTTTATAGATATCTACTAACTATTTTTTTTTTTGGTACGGCCAATACTACAGTGCCGCCCGTAAGAATGCGGCACCGATGCCGCCGTTTCTTATTGGTACACGTAGAAGTGACGTGGAACTGGTTAGGTTTATTAAATCACCCGTTGATCAAGAATTGACCCAAACCGCCATTAAGAGTAACGTGTCGTTTACCCAAAATCTTTCGTGCTCCAACGGACGGTGATAATCAGTTCCGGCAAATTTCTCGATCGCTGATTCAATTTCCAGTCTCTACCATAAGCATCAACTGAACGCCACCGTGTTCCTCCTCCATTTATTCCGTTGAACAGAAACGAACGATCCCTCGCCCGTCCGACACTTCTTGTCCATCGATTTGCTACGCAGTCATCGTATCACACAACCCCAAGCCAAAGAACAAATCATTTCCCTCCCTCTACGCCCTCCCTGTTGGAAGGGTCAAATTCTGAATCTGAAGTTCCTTGGAGGCAGCCCTTTCCCCCAAAATATTCCAAAGGCTTTGAGGTAATTTAGGTCGTGTGTATGTTGAGCAGAGCACTGATTCGTGTCATTTTTCTCCTGAATTTATCTGGGCTTCCTTTTGCATCTGAAGTGTTGATTTAGGGATACATCAATGGGGGTCTTGAATTCAATGTTCTTCTTCTTTTTCCTAGTTCATTTGTCTTTCTATGTATCAAGCAACATGGGTTCTCTGTCCCTGTTCTGTTCGTGTTTTCCCCCGGTTGAATGAAGATATCGCCATTAGCAAAACACAAGGCATTCTGCTGGAAATTACGAGCATCCGCATAAAGCCCTGACATTCTTCGATCAAAATAAGATTGGTTACATCGAGATGGAGGAGTTGACAGAAGCTCTGAATGATGAGGTTGGCATCTTTGGTGAGTATGTTTGTATTGCCATCATCCAAGATGATGTCACGGACTGTTCGCAGGGGATCTCTTTTTGGTGCAGATTCTCACCACTGTACAGCTCTTGTGAATTCTATCAGTTCAGCTCTCTTTGTGCTTCGAACTAAGATCCAAGACCATTAACAATTGATTTCTAGTTTTACAATTCCCAAACAATAAAATTCAATAATTTGGATTCCATTTTCTTGAAGAGTTTCAGTTAAGCATGCATAGCATGAGACTGAAGATTGGATCACCGGCAGAGAAGCTCGTAGGATCAGTTTGTTGCTTTCATCGTCAACCGTCGCGGGAGACAAGGAAGAGACCCTGCTTAGATGACAAGACAGAAGCTAATACTCTGTCACTTTGGGCCAATATCGGTTTGGGATTTTATTTCTGGCCAGCAGGTTTGGGCTGGGTTTCCACATTCCAAACCCAATCAATGCCAAGTCACGTCCAGGCGGCACTGTAGTATTGGCCTTTTGGTACATATCTACTAACTACTAATAACTCATACAAGATCCAACAACCAAAACGTTGGGCCTCCAGTTTCGACCGGCCCATAATTATAGAATTTCAGATACTTACACTGAAACTAATTAGCCGTTTCACATACTTCCTGGTTGAAAGCTGTTCTTAGATATTTCTTTGTCATCCATCCATGGCTGCTTCTCCACTCTCCGCTACCCCGAACCCCGTCCCGCAGCCTCTCGACCGGAAAATTCAACCAAACCCTATTTCTGAGCGCATACTGGCAGTTCCCATTCCCAAACACAGAGGCCCAGGACCCGATACCTATTCGAAGCTGTCCCCTTCTCACTCTGCTACTCACTCTGCTCATGGCGCAGAACTCCAGAGAATCCAGCAGAGAGCATTGGCGGACTGGGAGAAAGCGCAGAAAATAGAGAAGAAGGAGAGAAAAGAAGAAAAGGGCATCAAAACAGGGTCACGAAAGGCCATATCCGTGATTCTGCGACGGGAAGCCACTAAAGCCATCATCGAGAAGAAGAGGGGAAAAACTAATTCCAAGAAATTGCTCCCCAGAACCGTCCTGGAAGCACTCCATGAACGAATCACCGCCCTCCGCTGGGACTCGGCTCTTAAGGTGCAGCTTTTGCCAGTTCAATTTTAGTAATCAATTAGGAATTGGAGAATAATGTTAGCCTGTGTGTTGGTGGCGAGAGGTTTTGGTTTAACTGTACACTTCCAGGTTTTTGAGCTGCTCCGGGAGCAGCTATGGTACAGGCCTTATCCGGGTATCTACGTGAAGCTGATTGCGATGTTGGGCAAGTGTAAACAGCCCGAGAAGGCTCGAGAGCTATTTGAGGCGATGATTGATGAGGGCTGTGCTTCAAATCGAGAATCCTACACAGCTCTCGTGTCGGCGTATGGCAGGAGTGGGCTGTTTGAAAAGGCTTTTTCGCTGCTTGAGGAAATGAAGGGGGCTGCGGATTGCTACCCTGATGTTCAGACTTACTCCATCCTCATCAAATCATGCCTCCAAGCTTTCGCCTTTGAGAAAGTGCAGGTTCTGCTCTCTGACATGGCTGCTTCGGGGATCAGACCCAATGTTGTCACTTACAACACCCTTATCGACTCCTATGGCAAGGCCAAAATGTAAGTCAGCTTGTTTATAAAAAGAAAAATGTAAGTCAGCTTCTTGGGATGATCTCACTTGGTATCAACCACTTCCAACTCGAGAGATGGTAATTCTCATTATTAATGATTTCCTAAGCATAATGAATGATGGGTTTATCTAGATTTTAAATTTAGTGTCGGAATCGTTGTTTGTAGGGTCATTTGTGAGCATTATTAGAATGTAACCTATGATGTTGAATCTCTTGAGGAACTTAGATGGCCTATTGGAGAATGAAAATGATGCTGGATTGTTTTAGTGAGGCTGCTTGAATGATAACTGTTTGTTTCCTTTTCACAAAGGTTTATGGAGATGGAAGCAACGCTGGTTCAGATGTTGAGTGAGCAGAACTGTGCGCCGGATGTATGGACCATGAATTCCGCAATGAGGGCCTTTGGCGGAAGTGGACAGATTGAGATGATGGAGAAGTGCTACGACAAGTTCCAGAGTTCAGGCATTGAGCCTAACATCAAGACCTTCAACATCCTTCTCGATTCGTATGGCAAAGCTGGAGAGTACCAGAAGATGAGCGCGGTGATGGAGTACATGCAGAAGTACCACTACTCATGGACCATTGTGACGTACAATGTGGTGATTGATGCATTTGGCCGCGCTGGGGACTTAAAGCAGATGGAGTATATGTTCAGGCTAATGCAGACCGAGAAGATCAAGCCCAGCTGCGTCACACTCTGTTCTCTCGTCCGAGCTTATGGCCAGGCTGGGAGGCCTGAGAAGATTGGTGGCGTACTGAGGTTTATCGAGAACTCGGACACTATGCTTGACACAGTGTTCTTCAATTGCTTGGTGGATGTTTATGGGAAGATGGGGTGCTTTGCTGAGATGAAGGAAGTGCTCGAGTTGATGGAGGAGAAAGGTTGTAAGCCCGACGCGATTACGTATAGAACCATGCTCAAGGCTTATAAAGATAAAGGAATGAGCAGCCATGTAAAGCAGGTGCTCGAGCTACTTAGATCAGTTGAAGTTAGTCGAATGCCCAGAAAGAAACCTGATTTTTGAAAGCAGTAACTTTCAGCAATGCACCGGTCATTCACGTGGTTCTGATGGCTCTTTCACTTTCATCCTTGCCATGTATAGTTGCATGTATCTGAAGCTATTTGTTAAAGATATCTCGCCTTAGATTCCGCATCATAGGGATAGAGTTGGATAGTCATAGATAAGTTGATGAAAGTGAAGAAATTTGACTAAATCAAATAAGACTAAATTTTATTAATCATGTACTACAATATTATAACCAAAACATCTAAACTAATACAACAATCAAATTAATTAAAGTAAAGTTTAATCGGTTTGGTTAATTGGTTAATCCGATTAACCAATATAACATCACATTATCATTAGGTGAGAAAAACTTTCGGTTAATGCATTAATTCACAATTTATATCATGAATAAAATATAACAATCAGCATATACTTGTAATTAAATCTAAACATAAATACATGCAACTAATACAATTATCCTACGGTCAATAGAAGTATTCACCTAAGAAAAATATATGTCAATGGTATGGAGTTAACGAATTATTGTGTTTGTGTGAATTGACTTAGTCTCTTAGCATTATCATAGACTGTAAAAAAACATTCCTTTCAAGTTTTCATCCAACATAATGCATGAGTTTCATCTAAATTAGACGTCCATATTTTATAGTCTACACTCTATAAATACAAATATCCATTATATGAACAATATTGAGCTTTATTTTTATGAGGCTAAAAGAGAAGAACATTTTTCTCTTGAGTAGTTATACAAAGTATTAAGTATGTGTATAAAATTGATCGCTCTGACTATCACAATAAAATCTCACCTAAGTTCCAAGTATAAAACTTAGATGGGTACAATATAGGGCAATTATGTTTAAATATCGACCCGGGTCGATCCATGTACGGCTACTTCGATTGTTTGAAACATTATCTAGCGGATTGGTTTTGGTGAAAACAAAGTTCTAAAGCTAAAATTACTTTGCAAATATGAAATGGATTTCACACTAATTGAGAAGGCTCCAGTCGGGTGTTGCTCCCCCTAGCTAACAATTACGGCTTGAAGGATCGAATGACCATGTGTGGTTAGGGGGTTATAAACCGCAGGGAAGTCTAACAAGTAGCCAAAACTACCCTCTTAGTCTATAAGTCGAGGAAATGGGATATGATCCAAGCTACTAATGCGACCCTCTCAACCTATTGACTAAGGAATGGTTAGACTTCACCATCGAATTGGGGTTCGGACGACCACCCACAACCAAACCCTAAGTGCTAATACAAAATAGGAGGTTTCCCCTGCATTAAACTAACTAGGAGGCAACAAATTACCTAAGAAAACCCAGCATCAAGCCTTTTTCAAAGAAAGGAAGGGGGGTTTCTCTCTACCTAGGTTAGAATGACAGTTAGATTGATAGGCTTTCACACAACACAATTATTCATGAATAATACCTCCACATTCACATTAAACACAACCACACACAAATCATTTAATTCATACAAGCATTCACATAATTGTAGCTAGGGTTTACAAACACTCAAGTGAAAGAAAGGACTACTCCATGCTAGGAGAAGGGAAAACACAAGAGAGAAGAACGAAAACCATCAAAAAGATGCAAGCCTTGCTCCTTGTGTTGAAGAGATCCTCCTTTGGGAGAGGAATTCACAAATACTTGCTTGGAGATGAAACTCTAGATTCTCCTGTTCTTTGGTTCATCCTCTCTCACTCTAAAAATCTGAAGAAGAAGAAGAAGAAGAAGAAGAAGTTTCTCACACTAGGTCTCCCCCTTTCTTCTTCCTTTCAGATGGCCTTTTATACTGAGATAGAGCCCAGTTCATGGCCGTGAACATCAAAACACGTGCGTGAACACAGTGTGTTGAACTAAAACGCACCGCTTCACTTCTTGGGTTCACAGTTTGTGGTTGCAGTTCACGGTCTTATCGACCGTAAACAACCTTTCCGTTAGTAACCTCAAAACCCTCTCTGGATGATTGGTTCACGAGTTGTGGTTCCAGTTCACGGTCCTGGAGAACGTGAACTCCAATGGCAGACCGTGAACATAGGCGGTCTCCTCCTCTTTGCCCGACCTTTCCTCATTTTCTTACAACTTTTGACTCCGGGGTTTGTTTCACCTATTAGGATCTGAAACACAAGAAACCTAGCATAAAACCACCCCTTTTGGAGCTCAATTGCAACAAACGTCAAAGAGAAACGGGGATAAAAAGTGTACAACTAGGGCCGAATCACTCCCCCACACTTAGACGTTTGCTTGTCCCCAAGCAAACCATTTCACACAAGATAATATCTCATCTAACAAAATGCTTTGTGGACAAACCAAAGGGCACAAAGTTGCAAATCTCGATGGCTATTGGCAATTAATACATGGACCGTTGCAAGCAATACCGACATCCACCACAAACGACATTCGAGGTCACCAAAAATGGGCAAACAAAAAGTTCTCACCTTGTTCATGAATCAATGCAAGTCTCAACAAAATCACTAATCAACACAACTAACCATGCATAACATTCAAGTCCAAAGAACAAACAAATGGGCAACAAAGGTCCTCACCCGGGGTATGATATGACATGCAAAGTAAGAATGAATCACTCACTCTCTTGACCAGTGGGGTCAGGACCTTTTTTGTGCAAAGAATGTGCACAATCATCAACACTCGCCCCTATTGTCTCTTCACCAAGGCAGCAACCTCTAAATGTTAGAGTTCACGGGACGGTTGTCATCACTAGCTTGGCCGGAGGTCTTAGACACGAGTTCAAATGACTGGCAATTGTCTTGGACATGGGAAAAAGCTTTTTGGGTGGTGGCAAACACATCATGAGGTCCTACACCTTCAGACTAAACCCGAAGGTTCTATGGTTTCGACTAAGAATCTTCCCTACAAATAATGGCCACTAGCATCGACCAAAACCTTGCTGCTCCCTTCCAAACTATCACCCATCATGAACTACCTTTAAGCGTTCTTCCTCGGTCTACTCTTGCTATCACATTTCGACTTGGTAGTGAAGGAGTTTTAGAACAATGTGGGGGGTTTCAATGGCTTGAGTGCCAAGAAATCCCACTTAGAGCATATTCTTTGATTGTTTCGTGACACTCTCTACTTTATTTACCCGTTTTATTACCTCTTTTCGTTTCTTTTTCTTTCTACTTTTCTTTTCTTTCTATTTCTCTTTTCTTTTCTTTTCTTTTTGAGGGGGATACTAGAGAGTTAAACACTTGCCACATGACCTTTAACAATCAATGATCTCTTTTAAGAACTCACTCCAACCCTACTTTTTCCTCTTTCATTCCTAGCAAGAACCGCACACAATCCTCTTATGTAGAACCTCAATGAAACTCAAAAGTGAGAGCCTCGGGACACAAGGGCAACTCATGTACGGACACGAACAAAGGATGAGGGATCGTTCTATCAAAAACCATTAACCTCACAAGCACAAAGCACCTACAAGAGAACGATCCCCAAAGTCACAAGGCTCAAAGGGGTTGACTAGGGGATAAAACATTTCGGGACAATCAACATTTGGGAGTGGACTAATCCTATGCCTCCATCATACTCACTAGTGTCAACTGTGATGTTACTCGCCATGGTAAAAGGGATCTAAGCACACAAGAAGAAAACAATCGGCTCAAAACTCACATGGCTACCTAGTCACCCAATCATCCATTACAATTTCAAAAAACATAATGTGTAACACCCTGAGTTTGGGTTTAGGTTCGACTGAAAAGTTCGACGACGGTTGGATTGACGATTTCGTACGAATGGATAAACCACGGATTAGGAATAATAATAATTTAATTATTATTATATTAAAATTATAATATAAATAAATAAATAAATAAATAAATAAAGGAATTAATTCCCCCTTCCCCACCCGTTACTCCTCTTTCCCCATCTATTAATTCCCCTACCCCATCATTATTTTCACCACCCAATTAATAAATCTCCACCCCATTGTAAAACGAGGCCGCCCATCTCCTTTTCTGCTCGGCGATTCAGCTCCCCCATCACCAAAAACACAAAATGCCTCCCGCCCTTACTTTCCTCCTGCATCGACTTTTCAAATATGCAAGCAGTAGCCAGCAGCGACGGAAACAACTGTGGCGATACCATCTTCATCCCCGCGCAACCGACAATTGGCAACAGCTGGGAAAAACGGCGATGCCAGTCGATGGTTCATCCCCGAGCGGCCAAAGCAGGAGCAACAGCTCCAAGAAGCTGCATTTTTCGGAGCCCCAAATATGGTCCCGCAAAGCCATCGCCACCATTTCCCTCTCACGATCGATAGCAATGGCCAACCGTCCCCTATTTTGTTTCGCATCGGAGAAGAAGGAATAAATTGATGAAATGGGAGAAGGAGGAAAGGTAGGCTTCAGAGCACTGGGTTTTACTCGGCAGGGGGTTAGAAAATGATCTGCGGAGTCATAACCGTCATTAGAGGTATGCAGATGCCTCGTCGGAGCTACGTCGGCGTGTCACCGGAATCTGGAAATTTTCGAAGTTCAAAGAAACTTCAAAATGTGGATTTGGTTGCATAGAGGGCGATCTCAGGATCGTCACGGTATCGACGAAATCGAATTTGGACGTCAGATGAGTGAGAACCGAGTCTCCGAAGTTTGGAAAAGAATATGTCAAAGTTCAGTTACCATTCTCGGTAATTCAAAACGTTATGGGATTGATTTCGTAATTTTCTAAAAGGGTCAATGGTGTTGATTTGTAAAATTACGGATTTGATACCTAGTATTTTGGAATTTGATAGAATTCTTATTTTGGTCATATCTTGTTCGTTTGACATCCAACCGAGGAACCGTCGGTGCCTACGTGATCGTGGTGGCGAGGAGAATTTAATGGGAGCAATTCATAGAATTTTATAGCAGAAAAAGAGGCGTTTTCGACAGTTTTGAGGTGAGCGTAAAGGGGGTAAAATATCCGTCGAGGTCTTTTAGTTTATGTTTTCATTTCATGTAATGTTCGTTAATTTTTAAGTAAGCGCGATTATGTGTGTGAGGCATCCTACCTCCTACTTAAGGTGGAGGCACGCGTTGTGCTATGTATGTGTATGAATGTGTATGGATAAAGGTAAAATGAACCCCGGGCGGTTGGGCCACTACTGGACGCGGTAGATGGTTGGATCACTACTGGACGCCGAGATGTACCGTAGTAGTTGACCGGGCATGGATTGGACGCCAAGATGTAACGCAGTGTCATTATCGAGTTTGGGTATGCAACCATACAGCAAGACGTAATGTGGTTGGCATACTAGGGTAGTGATACCGGACGGCGATACGCTACGCGGTGGACCCTAGTTTTAAGAGGATAAGTTAAGATATAAGTAGAGAACTTCTATAAGCTAGTAAGAATGATTATTTGAAGGCAGAAAGCAAGAACAGCTTTCGTGCTAGGAAGCAAACTCTAATAACGTGTTAGTAGAAAGTTTGCCTAGGTCAAAGAGTTTAGGAAGTAACGACGAGACTGACCCCTTCTCACTCACCAGGTCGAGGAAGGGTTAGCAGAGGTGGATTTTGAGAAGAGGCTAGGGGAGGTGAGAAGGAGCACTAGAGTGGACGAGATCGAGGGGATCTTAGCAAGGGGTGTTAGAGTTCGTTCAGTTAGTTATGTTTATGATTATGAGTATAACTGGAGGTTCAAAGGTTAAGCTTTATTAACTATGTATTTGAGGTCTCCCACGTGTTTAGGGCATTCCATTCGAAAAGGATTCCATTGTATTCGTTTTAATGAATTTTTAAGTAGAGTTTTTAATCAGCTCCAGAGCCATGGTTATTTCGGTTTGGTTAAAAGTATCGGGATGTTACACAATGCATGAAAATTGTAATCAACAAGTAATCGAGTCAAGACATCCATTCATTTTTGCACACATGAGAACTAAACTTTTGCACTATCCTAATTCACCTCTCAGTCATCATCATAGGACACAATCGGTCACATGCAACAATTCAAGGTCAATGCCAATAAACACGAGATTCTACTACAAACCGGCCACTTTGATCATGCAAACATTGCTTGGAGCCCTCAAAATTATCAAATTTGGGCATACATCAAGGCTCCAAGCATCAATCACACTCACACAAGCATAAGAATAAACTACTCCCCACCCACACACACACACTTAAGTTCGACATTGTCTTCAATGACGTAAGTTAAGGGTAGAACGATGTTACCGCTTGGCTTGGTGAGTGAAAGTTGGAATTTTTTGGGGTAGGAGAGTGTAGCTTCAAGGAGAAGACAAAAACACACACACAAACACAACACATACTCTCTCGAGGCGAGGTTATTACACAAAGCAATACGATAGTGGTAGTTGTTCACACATACTAAACTAAAGAAAGAAAAATAAAACAACAGAGTTCAGAGTTCCAGGTGAAGAAGTGGGGCCAAAGGAATCGGCTCTCCCACATGTCTCACTCGTCGGCTACCTTTCACTGAGTGGAAGGCCCCGGCTCATCATCTGGAAGGAGGCCCTGGCGACAAGCAATCCGGTCGAGCAGGTCGGTCTGCCGGTCAAGCCGGGAAGTGACACCCATGATGTGGGTCTCAAAATGGTCCATCCTCTCCACGAGGGGTGCCCCGGAAGAGGAAGGACCGACACCTGATGGTGGTGGTGCTGCTGGCGCAGGACACTGGAGCGGGGGATGCCGAAGGTGGCTGTGAGCTCGAGCAAGTGGCTACTCTGGAGGTGGGACCTCTGCATCGGGCTCCACTAGAGCCGGGTCGACTGCTGGCCTCATGAATCCTAAGGGTCGGAGCCCCTCGAGGTACTTTATCCCCCACTCTCCCTAAAGCACTAGCTTCTGGTTGTAGAGAGTCGCCACTGGAAAGGGCTCGGTCCGGCCAACGATGGATCACCGCTCCAAATCCACGTGAAAGTGTCGGGCTAGCCTCGTGATGATGCCCCCATGTGCATGGTGTCCACCCTGTTCCGCCCCAGACACCAGGCAAAAGAGGTGGCAATCAGCGATCCAAAGTGGATCGGCTTTGCTGGGTGCCTCATGGAAAAAAGAGCAAGCAACCCTCTGTTTGTGATCAAATGGCGTGATTGCGAGCTGGGGACGACAGATCGGGTGATCAGCGGGGTCCTCAGCTTCACCGCATTGGTGCGGCCAACCATGAACTTGTCTTGCTCGTGCTTGAGCGGCAAAGGGCCTGGAATGCGGCCTGGTAGTGGAAGTCGACGGTGTACTGTCGCTCCGTCATCGTCATGTATGTCGTGTCGAGCCCCATGGCCTAGGCGAAGGCATCATAGGTCAGCACTCGTGGTTGACCGCCCATAATACACTTCATGTAGGGACGACTCTTCTTGTTGGTCGGGACGACGTGGGAGAATGTGGTGTAGAACTCCACACAGAGCTTGTGGTAGATGAGCTCATCCAAAGACAGCAGCTGGCGCCATTGGGGGTGACAGGCGACCGTGACATTGTGGCTCGCAACATGTTAAACATGTCCAAGTGCAGCCTCCAATGTGGCCTAATCAGGTTGTCCCTCTAGTAGGCAAACTTGGTCTCGAACCGTGCGTGGTTTACAAAGTAGCTGATGTACTCGTGCTCCATGTTAAGCATCTTGCAAAACCGACCAACGTGCACCATACGTGGAAATAATTATCAATCTCAACTCATTGGGAGGAAATAGGAATTCCCCAACGCTTATATTTCCATTACGGGCCTATGCTAATGAAAATAATTAAGCACAAGCACACCGAGGCATGGTTCTAGGTATTCACGGATTATCCACTCAAAAATTAAACCCGAACCATGCCACGGTAGCTTCGCCAGAAAAAATGCCCCAAATCTCTCCAAAATCTCAGCGAAGGCCGCTTTTGATGAAGGGAGAATGGGTATGTGCTTGGTGTTGGGTTTGGCCCGTCGAAAGTGGGTGAAATGGGCAAAAACCATCGAAGTTTTGTGATTTTTCGACAAGATTTGAAAGATTACGGCGAGTTTTGGGTCGTGAAGTGAAGGAAAACCGTTCATGGCCCTTTTATAGGCCGACCCTGCAGTTCACGGGGCAAGGCATGTCGCCTCCCAACTTACTCTTCATGGGGTGGCCTTCTTGGCCGATGACTTTCGCTTTGCCCTTTTCCTTCCACCGGGTATTAACATGACTTAACCGTTCCCTCCAAGCTCTTTTCCTTCCTTCTTTGGGTGAGATTCCCTCTTTGCTTTTCTGCTTCACATCATCACAAGAACCAACAGTAATAGTGGGGTTTTCCTTGCAAGGCTCTCCTCCACTTGCATTCATATCACTCGGTTCCACTTTCTTCACTTCCTCATTCCTAGGCTTAGGTTCAATTCCAAGAGTAATTCTCTCCTCACCATCGCTCAGAATCAAAGTTCCTTCATTTACATCAATTAATGCCTTGGCGGTGGCAAGGAAAGGGCGTCCTAGTATGAGTGTCATCTCAAAATCCTCACTTATATCCAGGATCACAAAATCCGTCGGATAACATAATTTTCCCACTCGTACTAGCATGTCCTCCACTATGCCCCTAGGACTAATGACAGAGCGATCGGCCAATGTGACACTAAGCCTCGTAGTCTTTAGTTCACCTATGTCTAGCCTCTTAAGAAGCTTAAATAGCATCACATTTATGCTCGCCCCTAAGTCCGCCAAGGAATTTTCTATGTGATGAGAACCGATGCAAAGAGGTATAGTGAAACTACCTGGATCGGGTTGCTTCTTGGGCAACCTGTTGAGGATGAAGGTTGAGCACTCCTCGCCTAAGGTGACATTGGCGAGGTCTTTGAACTTCGGCTTCTTGGAGAGAAGCCCCTTGAGGTATCTTTAATACCTTGGCATGTGGGCCATTGCTTCAAGGAAGGAATGTTGAGGTGGAACTTTCGTAGCATCTCCATGAAACCTCCACATTCCGCTTCGAATCTTTCCTTGTGCACCCTCGTGGGAAAAGTTAGGGGTGGCGTGTACTCAGCCACAGGTGGTGGCGTCGGCAATGTCTTCTTCGCCACTCCTCTCTTTTCTCACGAGGTTTCCTCTTCTTCACCCTTGGTTAGAGGGTCTTCCTTCTCATTCACTTCTTTGGCAACGACCTCTGGAGTCACCTTCCCACTCCTAAAAAAGGTGCACTTGAATCGTGTGGTATCGATGACTCTCTCCAGTCATGGATTCGTGTATTATGTTTTGAAAAAGGTGCTCTAAAAAAGTGAGTCCATGATCTTTATGTTTTGTAGAGTCTCTTTGTCCATGAATAATTTTTCCTCCGATCACTATTTGGCATGATCCCGACTCGGGACTAGAGTTATCACCGAAGAAGCTAGGAGGTTTCTTGTGAGTTGGTTGACCTCGTAAGATGCTAAATGATCTAGGAAGTCCTATACCAACGATCGGGGTTGCATGTTGTTGTAGAGGTCTGAAGAGTTGCATTGGTTTGAGTCAGGTTTGCTTGGGGACAGACAAATGGTTAAGTGTGGGGGGATTTGATGACTCGATATTTGCACATGTTTTCGTCCACCATTCTTATACTGTGTGAGGCTCATTTCTTGTGTTTTAAACCGATTTCATGCTAGGTTGTCCTTGTTAGTTGACCTGGAGCGGAAAGGAAGGCTTGGACCCCCAGTTACCAGACTTGAGAATTCCAGCTGGAGGTTGGGTTTTTACCCACTAAAGCTGCGCACCGTTTTTAAGAAACCCGACTGGTTCTCTTAAAACCCGATTGGGTAATTGGACTGTGTATCGGGCAGGAGGTTGTTTCAAGCAAATTGCGGGTTTTGACCTATCATTCGAACTTTGGAGTTGAAAATAGAGGTTTAGAGAGAGAAAGTGACGAAGAGAGATCCTTGAGTGCCCTAGATCAAGTCCCACACCATTGGAGCTAGATTCAGGCCTCGAGGAGCGACAATTGACAACTTGGTGCTGATTTCTTTCATCTACACGATGATTTCCACATCCGGCATAACTTTCCACTCTATCTATGGAATAACCCCCTCTATCACTTAGGTATGTAAGAACCCTAGATTGTATGTTAAGATAAGTTGTATGAACCCTTTGCCTTGAATGATTGGTTGATTTATATCCAATTGAAGTACTATCTCATAATTGCTTGAGTCTTGATCAATTTCTAGTGATTCCTGCTTTGACATAAAAAGATAATCTTTGCATAGGTTAATAGAGCATCTTGAATTGGAGGTATTAAATCGGCGACTTTAGTCGGGAAGTCGATTCACTGCTTTGTATTGGTTTAGAACCAAATAGAGGAAGTTTGAATCTTATTGCCTCGGTTAGCTTACGCCTGTGGATGTTAGTTGTCCACCGGATATGTAAAATGAGAGGGTCTGGAGCACTTTAGTCGAGACTCCATACTGTTTGAGAACTTTCCGCGGTTTAAACATCAATCAACTTGGTTTAGGTGAATTACAACTTGGCCTGACTGCGATCTATGGGGACTCATACCTGAGTGAGCCTTCTTAATTTGAATCGCAACTTTACTACTTTTTGCTTGCTTAGATTAGTTTCAACTTCACTACATTTACACAGCTAGATAACAAGAACTTCACGGAGTAGTTATCACATCTAGGACCCCGATTGACAAATAAAGCTAAACCCGCTATACTACGCATTAGTTAGTGATTACACTTGGCCACTTTCTAGTGTGACGGTAAAGGCGAGTCAACGACCACACCGTATCTTCAATTATAACATTAAACAAACCTAATAATCAACAAAAATATATCAATTATTAATATAAATTCAAAGTATCACATCCTAAACCATCCATTAATCCATAAGACAAGGTACAACTATTCAAACTATTCATCTATGACTTCGAGAAATCTACTAAACAAAAAATAATTAACATAATAATCTTTTTAATAATGGGAAAATATCCTTCATTGTTAAAAATATAAATCTACTAGAATACCAGAGGAAGCAAAATGTCAAACTGGAATGGAACTGGTTAGCTGAAGTGGTGGTCTCGAAATCAAAGAGTGATGAATCTACAACCCTAATCGCCATAACATCATCCTACCTTCATCACAATAGATAACTCGTTCTAACTACAAAATCCCAGTAGAAGGCCAAGGATAACCGCCGACCAGGTGTAGCATAGGGCAAGCAAGCAATAAGAATTTATCATACCACGGGGATCTATGCTTACCCTACTTCAGGTTTAGGGTTCGTTATCTAGCCAACCTATGATTGTGATTGATAGAATTACACTAACTAACCTAGACTAACCACTAACCTAGCTATTTACAAGGTGGGGAGATCTCTTGGGTTGAACCGTCCTAGGTCCGTTCTTTGGATCGATATTGGGTATCCTCCTAGCTCGATCGACTCAACTACGCTACCGTTTGGAGATGAACTTCCTCGGGAATGACCCAGAATGGCGAATCGAGAGGGAGATGAGAGATTACAAAGAAACCTCTAGATCTTCATCTTCTTCTTCTAGGCTTGATTCCTTGCTTCCAAGGTTGATCAATGCCTTCAATTAACCTGCAAGATCACTCTCTCACTCTCTAGAACTCCTCTTTGGTGTTTTGGGTCGAAACCCTAGAGAAAGAAAGTGTTTCTTCTCCCAAAAACCAGCTCCCTTCTTCTTCCTTCTGCTGCTATTTTTATACCTAGATCGAGCTGAGTTCACGGCCTTCCACTTCAAGGACGTGAACACCTACACGCGTATGTGAACTTAGTGTCGTCTTCAAAACGCACAGCTTCACTCTCCGGGGTTCACGGTTTGTGCTCCAAGTTCACGATCTTAGAGACCGTGAACTGCCTTGTCATCAGTAACCTATGGAACCCTCCTGGACACCTCGCTGTTCACGGTTTGTGGTTCTAGTTCACAGCCTTAAAGGTCGTGAACTCCAATGCTAGGCTGTGAACTGCAGCTGCTTCATGGACGCCTGCGCTTCACTGTTACGGGGCAATTGTCATGGTACGTTTTCCCCCCACTTTTTGGCACTTTTTTCCCACACGTGCTAGGACTTGAAATGTATCAAAACAAGCACAACCTAGCGTGAAATATGTCGAGGGACGATGAAATGCAAAGCCAACTATAAAGATACGAGGGGTAAAATGTGTACAATTGGATTCGAATCAATAACCTAATCAATTTGAACCCCAATTCAAAAAAGCAACTTTGTGTTCAACTCATTAACTTATTAGTAAAGTCGGAATCGCTTGCCATTGGGCGATCGAATCTCAAAGAATTAGAAGTAGAAGAAGAAAGCAAAAATCATGGAGAATTTAAAGACTAGGATGAGTGATGCAAAAAAAACAACAAAGAATCAATAGTGGATCTGATAAAGAAGAAAACGATGAATGAGGAGCGCACAACAGAGAATAAGAAACATAGTAAGCAAAAATAAAAAAATTTAAGTACGTGAGAGGGAGTGAATTGAAGAACATAACATTTGTGTTTGCCAGAGTGGAGGGCGATGATTGAAAGAGTGAATGACAATTTAAGGAAGATAAATTAGGGTTTGTTTTGGATGATCGCTAAATTATATTTCACTATTTCATCTTATTTTTAATCATTATTGTCATTGACAAGTTACAATATAATGTCTATACTTTTTTATTCATGACAATATATCCTTGATGTGACAGTTGTGTGTATGATGAGTATGTGGTTGGAGAACCTAAAATTAAACCCATCCGCCACATCAAACTCTTAACATGTTTTACTTATGCCTGCCGCATCGTACCCAATTAGTACAAAATTAACTAAGGGGTCGTTTGGATGAGGAATTGTAACGGATCAATTTGACACAATTGTCTCGTTTTGAGACAATTGTACCAAATTGCCTCGTTTGCCAGCAAAAAATTTGGACGGATCAATCTGCCTGAGGTATTTTGAATTGATCCGTTTTGAGTCAATTTCAATTACCTGGAGTGGGGCTGGTAATTCGAATTGACTCGTTTATAAAACGAGACAATTGATCAAATTGACTCATTTCTAGATTGATCCATCCAAATTAGAGATGAGTGGGTACTCACGATCACAAGTCTGATTACTATCTCGAGCAATAATATATATTCATTGAAAAAAAATGTGAAAACAAAAGTTATGTTATGGACCAACATGATCGAATCTTAGCCTTCTCCTTTGGTTCGTCGTAGTCTTCATCGTGGTTAGACCCACGGCCAAGCCCACGCCCACTAAGCACTACCATAGACACTCGCAGTCACTCTTGCTCTGGTCCGTCTCGCTCCCGTACGCATAGTACCCCCATTCCTTCGAAAATCAAACCTCAGAGAGAGAAAGTTTGAGTAAAGCCAAACAAGCAAGGGAAGAAGAAAAAAAAAAAAAACATACACCCAGCGAACACAAACGAAAAAGAAGGGGGAAACTCTGAGCGAGGAACAAATTTTTTTTTTCTTCCAAAACCACTTTTCAGAGGGGGCCAATATACGATGAGAAATTGCAATAGCAAGCTTTCCATGGCTGACATTTGCGCCAACTCCCTTCTCTTGTAGGTCAATTTTTATTGATTGTGTGTTGTGAGAGAGTGAGTGAAGGCGGGGGGAGGGAACGAAGGAAGGGGGAAAAAAAAGAAAGAAAACCCTAGGTGAGAGAAACCAAGTGTCAAAACTCACGAGCGGGGGGGAACGACGAGGTTTCAAATTTGCCCCACTGCCGTTGCCCTAAGCTTCTTCGAAGCTTTCGCAATTCAGGTGAATTCCTTGCTCCTTACGTGTTGCTCTGCAAACCCTAGAATCCTGGCGCAGTGCTGAATTCGTGGCAAATTCTGCGTGATTTCGCGAAATTAGGGTTTGTTTTGTCTGGGGCAAGCCACGCCAATGCGTTTTAGTTGTGCTGGTGTTGTGCATTTTGTTTGAGTACTCCAGGAATACCCCCTCTCCTCTCTGTCAACTGCTGCCCTGTTGCTTCATTGTTCCAGGGAGTTTCAATTGCTGTAACTAAGCTTTGCTCGTGTCTGTGATCCTGAGCTACTTCAGTTCATCACTTATTGAGGGAATGTTGCGGACTTAGTTGTTTATGCTCATCCAGTACATACTCATGGCAGCATGCTCATTTACTCTGTCTTCCCGGGTTGCAGGACAGTTGGTTAGCTTCTTGTGCTGAGTGTTCCTAGGACACATTTCATGTTTGTAGTGATTTTTTTTTTGATTGGGACTGGATATCATTTCGTGGCTCGGCTCAGCCCAGCCCAGCCCGGCCTTTCCGTTAAACCTCTAACCAGATATATACTTAATCTTGTTATGGCCGGCACCCTGGTTGTGGGTATGAAGAGCTTCATTTATCTGTTCTAGGAAAAATGGGTGCACTGTTGGTCGTTGTGGTGCTGACGAAGAGGTATTGTTATTATAGAGGGAACATGGTTAGGAGCTTATGGTTAAACTTTAGTAAAATTTAAAATTTTATAACAGTATAAACCTAGGTAATGTTTGCTGTGCCAATGTTGATGCTTGCATGTAGAACATAAAATGCTAGCTCGTCGTTGTTTTCAACTTTGGTGCCATATACCACTTGCTGTATGAGATTTTTCTGATGATGCATGTCATAACCTCAATGATTCTTAGGCATTTAGAACATGTTCTTTCAGAGTTGTTTCTGTGAGACCGCAAGCATTTGCTAATATGTTGGTCCAGAACATGAGTACAGAGAGTCCAATGAGTTGGTTTCTGCGAGAGTGCAAGCATTTGGTAATATGTCCGTCCGAAACATTAGTTCAGAGAGTACAATGGCTGTATTGCTCCTCAAAGAGAATGCTTGACAAATGCTTCCGTTTATCAATAGGGAAGTAAAATAATTTGGAATTTGACTGCAGATAGTTGAGCTCTTGGTACTTCTTTTGTACAAAGCTTTAGTGAGCTAGATCATTTTGCTGTACTTGCATTTAGGTTTATCAGCGGCCATATTGGTTGATCATCCCCATAAACTATGATGATATTAGACTGAATTGCCATTTTACTCCTCTTCTGCAGGAATAAAGATAGGCGTAGCTTGTACAGTGTCATTGCTGTTAAACTATTATTTGTGGCATTAATCTGTAATAGACATGTACCTTAAATCAATTTGTCTGCTAAATTGAAAATTTACCTCCTTTATCTTGCTGCTCAGATTGTTTGAACCTGAAATAACTTCCAGAGGACCCTACATATTTTCCCAATAAGACCGGAGCCTATTTGGTTCTAAGCTTTATAGACTAGAAAAATACACTTGTGTCTCTCTGTGTCCACTTTTATCAGCTCTAATTGTTTGTCTAATTTGTTTTCTAATTTATAGCTATCTGAAGCAATGGTAAAGGAAAGCTGTCAGTTAGTGAGTTAGTAATGCATGGATGTTACTCGCGGTCTGATTTCTTAGTAAATGCTGAGGTTGATTCCATGGGAGGGGTTGTTGACGGCGGAGTTGGTATTGGCATCAAAACCTCTCCACGCAGAGCAGCGATTGAAAAGGCTCAGGCAGAGCTTAGGTAATCCTTACATACTGTAGTATATTTACCACTAAAATCATCCATTTTACCGTTATTTAGCAGCAACCATACTTTGGCGATTAACAGGCAGGAGTATGATGTTCGCGAGGAAAGGAGAAGGGAGCTTGAATTTCTTGAGAAGGTTTGGAAAGTCTAATCTGTTTCACTGTTCCCAACCTTTGTCTGTTTCCTGTGAATGCTCTAATAGTTCTCTTCCATAGGGTGGCAATCCTTTGGACTTTAAATTTGGCAATGCTGCTTCAATTAGCGTCCAGTCCACGTCACTCACTTATCATCAGGCAGAACATGTTGTGACTAGGTATACATACCACTCTGATGTGCCCGATTTTTGTGGCTGTACATCTAATAAGGTGACTGATGTAAGTAATCATTTTTCTTCTGTTTCACATGGTGTAACTATAGCAAAGCTAAAGGTAGCTTCCCTTTGACTGCATCACCCCATGGGGATTCTGTTGAAAGTAGTGGTCAACCTGGGCCTACGACAGTTTGCGAACCTAACAGTGCTGATAATTTTGATGGTCAAAATGATTTGCTTGGAGGTGACCGAAACCGTAGGCATCTCATCAAAAGGAATGGTGTTGCTCTGTCTGAGCAGTCATTGCCAATTGAAGGAGCTCAGAATGCAAAAGAGTCTGAAGATTCTGCTATAGTTCGTCCATATGCTAGAAGGAATAGGTCTAGGCCAAATCGAGATGGTACTAGATCAAGTTCAGGTGATGTGATTCAGAGTTCTGGTGTCCATGGATCTTCCTTTCCCAGGGGATCTAGGAATATTAAGTTGATATCTGAGTCAAACAATCAGAAAGACAATGCAGTCCCCTCTGCCTGTAAGCCCAAACCTACAACTTCAAATGGGGAAATGATCCCCCAGATGGTGGAAGTGCAGCCTCTGCAGGCAACTGAGGCGCCTAAAAGTAGTCCTGTTGATAAATTGGATGCGAGAGAGTCCAATACTGTAAAAGATAAGGAAAAAGATCAACCTGTTGGGATTGATACTCGGAAACAACCAGCGGATGATACTGTCAGGATATGTGATGAAAATGTTAGAAATGAACAAGTAGTTTCAGTTGGTCTTGAGTCTTCGCCTTGTGTAGCTGTGGAGAGATCAGAGGTTGAAGCTGGTTCTGCACTTTTGAATGACTTCAGGGACCAGAAAGCAAATGAAAATGTTGGTCAAAATGTTGGTGCCACTAAAGTGACTAAGGGATTGGATTCAGATTCTTCTTGCACCCCAAGTAGCCTTAGCTTAGATGTAAATAATGGAAGCAGTTTGTGTATTAACCATAGGGAGGAGGATTCTAACAAAGTTTATTTGAAACAAGCAACAGAGATTAAAGGAACACAGAATTCAGCTGCTGCAGAAACTTGTAAAGATAGGGATGATAGTGCCGCTGTAGGGAATAATGCTTCTGGTGATGCTGGCATCAACTGTACGTCTAAAGGTGCTTCTGCTAATGGTGTGGCAGCAAAAATAGAAGATATTGAAAAGTCTTCTGGTCCTCAAAATGGGGATAAATGCACCCAAAATCTTGAAGAAATACATCAAAATGAGATTACTGAACCTGTGAGCATTGAAAATGCTGTTACATCATTGGATAATGAGTTGATCTCCAACAGAGTAAATGCTGGCTCTTATGTAATGGAGAACCCTTCAGATCTCTCCTTGCAGCAGGAGCAACTGAAATCTCAATTGCCGGAAAACAGTTCTGCTTCTGCTGCTGAACTTCATTCTTATCCGGACATCAAGATAAACAGGGCCCGTGAAGATTCTATATTGGAAGAGGCACGGAGTATAGAGGTTTAATCCTTACACTCTATCTTTGTCTAACTTGGTGAGGGAATCAATTTCCATTTTCTCATAAAAATTTTCACGATCTCATACCAAACCTGTACAGGCTAAGAGGAAGAGGATTGCTGAATTATCTCTTGGAGTAGCACAGGTGGAGGCCCGGAAAATGTCTCACTGGGAATTCGTCCTTGAAGAAATGGCTTGGTTGGCTAATGATTTTGCACAGGTCTGGTTTTGTAATGCCATATGTGGAAGTTTCATTTCTGCCTTCTTCTTTACTTGGTAGATACATTGTTGATACAAGTCGTTCTAGATAACAGTTAATATGTTGGTGCGCTAGTTTCAGTTGATAATAATGTAGAACGAGATATAATTTCTTATGGTTCCATAAAATATCCGCAAGCAGGAGCGTCTTTGGAAGATGACTGCTGCTGCACAAATATGCCGGCGTGTGACACTTACTTCTCGGTTGAGAGTGGAGCAACAAAATCAATGTTTAAAGTTACAAAAAGTCTCCTACACCCTGGCCAAAGCAGTGATGCAGTTCTGGCAGTCGGCAGAAATGCTTCTGTGTTCTGATAAAAGTCATGGTCCAATTACAGACATTGATGAGGACAAACCTGCTGCTGTAAAGGTGATATTTTTATCTCATCAGAAGTATGATGATTGCTTTTGAAAATTGGCATCTTTCCTTAAACCCATTTATTTCTGGGAGATTATATTAGGATCTACACGAATTCATCTATAATATCTCTTTTTTTTCGAAACTGAATATTTCTAACTGTTTCTTATACTTTGTTTAGTTTGAAATTTACTTCACCGTTTGTCTCAATACTACTATGTGGTAGCAATGCATTCATACTCTTAGTTGTTGCTGCTAACTTGGAAAAGTTTGCTCGATTTTTAGCAAAGAGATAATAACACGAGTCATTGTCCTTTCGTCAATCAGCAGGTTGCATGCAAAGAATTTGAGCAACAAAGTCCCAGAAAGAATGATATTAAGGGATATGCTGTGAGATTTTTGAAATTTAACAGCTCTCCAGTTCCTGCAATTCAAGCAGAACAGCCTACAACTCCAGATCTAGTAAGCGATGCTGGAGTTATGGAAGTTTCATGGGATGATCACTTGACTGAAGTATGACTTGCCATCTTTTTATCCAGATTGTTTTTATTTATATAATTATGACATATGACTCGTCATGGCATCTCTATATTTTCTGGATTTATATTTCTTAGTAAGTTCTTGCCACAGAATATGAACTTCTTTAAATTATTTTACCTTATAGTTTACCCTGAATGTAAGATCCCTCCGCTTGTTTATCTTGCATGATTCTTTCTTTTTCAGGAGAGCTTGTTCTATGCCGTTCCTTCAGGTGCAATGGACTCCTACAGAAGCTCAATTGAATCACACTTGGTTCAGTTCGAGGTAAGTTTACATGTCATTGATGTGCTTTTGATCATTGTTGACGTTACTACTCCATTTTTATCCTAAATATATCACTTTCATACACAAATTATTAGGATGGAAGGATTGTGGCTAGTGTGTTTGTAGTTGCTTAGCTGTTACAATGAATTTATTATGTTCTAAAAATACGGTGTAATTGGAGCCATTTAGTCCTTTCGACATAGCTTGTGTCGTATATTGTAGGCACTTCATTTTCTCTGTCACTTAATGTTTGTTTTCACTTCAGAAAACAGGCAGCAGCATGCAAGAGGAAGGTGATACATCCATGCTTGATGCCGGACCAGGTAATTGGATAATGTTTTGAATGTGATTGTATAACCTTTTTAATAATTAGGTAAATACAATTAACTTTTATTGGCATTTTATATCAAACCCAGACTTTGGACATCCTGAGAATGGATATGATGAGGATGAAGGTGAAACTAGTACATATTATTTGCATGGAGCATTTGAAAGTAGCAGGCCAAGGAAACATGATCAAAAGAAAAGGACACACTCACTGAAATCATTCCCAACAAGATCATATGAAGTGGGAACTGATGTGCCATATGGAACTGTGGGTCCTCAAAATACATTGATGGGGAAACGACCTGCTAGTAACCTTGGCCCAATTCTACCAAAGCGTATGCGCACTGCTTCTCGGCAGAGGGTTATTAGTCCTTTTAGCAATGGAGTTCCTACAGGTCCATCTGCTCCAGCAAAGACAGATGCTTCAAGCGGAGACACAAGCTCTTTTCAGGATGATCAGAGCACCTTGCATGGTGGTTCACAAATCCAAAAAGGCATGGAGGTTGATTCTATTAGCGACTTTGAAAAACATCTCTCTTATGATTGCTCAGATATTATGACAAAGCCAAAGAAGAAGAAGAAGTCTAGGCATCTGGTAATCCATGCTCTAGGAGTCTCTTCTTACAAGTATAATGTAGTCTCTTATGTAGCTCCTTGTTTGCTTCTGGTTAAGTTGTTCCTTACTTATCAAATGCAGGGTTCTGCTTACGAGCAGAGGTGGCAGCATGATTCAACCGCTCTTGTTGAACAGGTCATCCAAGTTTGTTTACTTCAATTGCATTTCTGATGTGAATATAGTGATCTTATGCGTCCTGTTTATGAACTATGATTTGACATAAGTTTTAACTAGCATATTCCAGACCTAACAGAAACGAATGCTTACATTTAATACAAATATGGCATGGGGCAAAAAGTTAAAAAAATTTCCACTCTGGTAGAGACCTCCCTCCACATAGGCGTTAGCTAATGGATATTTGTACAATTTTTAATATTGGAACCAGATACTCTGGTCTGAACAATTTTCTTATAGCTAAAAAGCACGATACTATGAATATAAAGCTCAATTGAATAGCTTTTGTTCAAGAAAGGATTTGCTAGATTAATTTGTTTGGTGGAAAAGTAAAGCATAGACACCGAAGTGCTTGTAAGTAGGAATACTTCTGGAGGCTGGTTGGGACCACTACAGATTTAGCTGGCTTCTTAGAAGTCTTGATTGTTGGTTCTGTATAAGTGCAGGCATGTATGCTGTTGATTGCAATTTACATGAGTACTAAGGGGTCTGAGGGACTTGTCTCCCTGTTATCCCAAAATTTTGGTGGTCTGGCTGTGGGGCTAGGGAATGGCACTTGTAAAAGATTAAAGCTGTGCTGGAGGTCACATGGATTCCTTTTGGGCGTCTTCTGTGCTTCAGTTGATGTACTAACAATCATAGAATCACTAGTATTTTGGTATTGTGTAGCAATCGTTGGTGAAAATGGTTGCTTATGTTTCTCCTGATATTGGTATATCTTATCTGATGTTTCTTTTCTACTTGTAGAGAGAGCACCAGAAAAAGCGACTGGAGAATCATCATTTTGTCTCTAACGGAAAGAGTGGTAAGACCACTTTTCATCATGTGTTGACTGGATTCTTAATTGTTGGTGTGGATGGTGCTTAAAGTTTTCTGCCTCTATTGTTTAAGGTCTATATGGGCAACACACTTGGAAAAAGCCAAAGATGCTGAAGCAATCACTAGATGCCTATGACAATGTAGCTCCATCCACTGGGTCTATTCCTTCCCCAGCAGCTTCCCAGATGAGTAATATGCCCAGCACAAATAGGTTTATGAGACTGATCAATGGCAGGGACAAAGGAAGGAAACCCAAGTCCTTGAAGGTATGGGCTCGTGATTTGTGCTCTCCTATAACTTGTCAGTTTGTCTGCTGGACATATAACCTCTTAGATGATGTGAACAAATGCTCTTCTCAACAGATTTCTGTTGGCCAGCCTGGTTTTGGAAGTCCATGGTCCCTCTTCGAGGATCAGGTATCCTGCATATTCCTTGATCTTGCTCTTTTTGGTTTTTGTTACTGAGTAGGCTCCTCAAATTGGCAATATGTACCGATTTCTGTATCCCAGGCACTTGTCGTCCTTGTACATGATATGGGTCCTAATTGGGAGCTTGTAAGCGATGCTATCAATAGCACTCTTCATTTTAAGGTGATCACCCATGTCAGTCTCCCTGGAGTTTGGTTCATTCTACTGCTAGATATGCCTCATGTTCTTCCTGCTATTGAGCTTCCTTTGTTTATAAATGTTATCGAAGCAATTTTATTTAATAGTATTTGAATTTTCTCTTGGATCTTGGTGATCCTGTCAGTGCATATTTCGTGCACCGAAAGAGTGCAAGGAGCGGCATAAAGTTCTGATGGACAAGGGTGCTGGAGATGGTGCTGACAGTGCTGAAGATTCAGGGACTTCGCAATCATATCCGTCAACCTTGCCTGGCATCCCGAAGGCACGTTCACTAAACTTCAAAATGATTTGCTGGGAAACAGGGATAAAGGCTGCTGGAGTGCTCCGTAGTGACTTGTCTATTTTAAATGGAACTAACTTACCACGGTGTTAATGCTTCAGGGTAGTGCTCGACAGCTGTTTCAACGCTTGCAAGGGCCGATGGAAGAGGATACTCTGAAGTCCCATTTTGAAAAGATTATTATGATCGGCAAGAAGCTGCATTATGGGAGGAGTCAGGTTGGTTCATGCAGTGTATACTTGTATTGTTCGTATTAACATGCTCAAGGGCTATAATAGTAAGTGTTTTCTTGTCAGCCTGATTAGCAATTCAAGGCTGTTCCTATGGTTTCAGACAATGCTAGATACTTTCAGTAGCTCTGTTTTAGGATGATCTTACAGTTCTTGGGCTTGAGGTGTGAAACTTCAGAAACTAAAGTGAAATAATGACCATCTTGTCTAGGTTATATATTTTTATTGCCACAGCTTAAATAGATTGTGGCATGAGTCATGTACAATGGAACCTAGGACAGTAGATACTTTCTAATAATTTATTCACTGTTTGCCTATCTCAAAATCTTGGCTGACTTTCTTAATATGATTTTTGCTGTCTGTTTTGTAGAATGATACCCAGGATCCTAAGCAAATACCAGTTCACAATTCTCATGTGATTGCTCTTTCCCAAGTTTGCCCAAATAACCTAAATGGAAGCATCCTAACGTAAGTTTGACATGCAAATTTGCATGTTGCCTTGCTATATGGGCTTATCATGGCCCGCTCTTCAGTTTATTCTGTCTGCATTAATCATTTTTGGAAAAGCCGTTCTGAAATGTCGTTCTCTCGGTGAAGGCCTATTGAGCTGTGTGATATGGATCCTTCAAGTCAAGACATCCTTGGGTATCAAGGGTCTCATGCTAGTGGTTTGCCAATGCCAAGTCAAGGTGTTGTTGGATCAACGCTTCCTGCTTCTGCTGTGAATCCTAGCGTGCAAGGATCCTCAGGCATGGCTCTAAGTAACAATACATCGTCACCATCACCATCTGGATCGCTCCCTGCTTCTTCTAGGTAGTCCGAGTTTCATTAGGATTCTCGTAATGGAGTTTATAAGATATAAGACAGTAAGTTTTTTTTGCCCTGACATTTGACTCAGATTTTTATTTCATGTACTAGGGATGGTAGATTCAGTGCTCCAAGAACGTCTTTACGTGCTCACGAGCACCCAAGAACACAACATTTTAACCAAATGTTGCCAGGAAGAAGCCTGCAGCAGTCTAACCTTTCTGTTTCTGGCCCTCTACCTGGTGGAAATGGTATGGGCATGATGCCTGGGTTGAATAGAAACATGCCATTATCGAGGCCTGGTTTTCAGGGAACCCCGCCACCGGTGTCAAATTCTAGTAGTATGCTTTCGTCTAGTGTGAGTGGGATTCCAGGTGGAGTAAATATGCAATCTGGAACAGGGTCAGGCCAATCTAACTCATTGACGAGACCACGCGAGCCATTGCATATGATGCGGGTAAATGCATTCTTTGAGCATAATTACTATTTTAAGCAGCAATAGTTTGACTATTTGCTGTTACCAGGTCTGCTATGTCGGGCTATAAGGTTTATTTGGTTAAGTTGCGTTGCATCAACACTAGGGATGCTCATATGGTGATTAACAAAAGTCTTTAGTTTACTTCTGCCCTGGTCAAAACCCAGGGCATAAAAAAGATTGATGGTCACAGAGATGCAGGGCAAACAGAGAGGCAGCTAAGGAATTCATCCTGCTTTTAGTGGGTTGAGTCTTCTGCTTATACTAATTAGACAACCTCTCCTCATGTGCAGAAATATTCTTCAGGCCACCCTCAGCCACAGCACCTAATGTCTCCACAACAGCCTCATGTGCTAGGAAATCCTCATCTTCCAGGACCAAATCAGGCCACGGCTTCACCCCAGCAAGCATATGCAATCCGTTTAGCTAAAGAAAGGCAGATGCACCAGCGATTTCTTCAACAACAGCAACAGCAGCAGTTTACTACATCTAGCACCCTCATGCCACATGTCCAACCGCAACCTCAGCTTCCCGTGACATTGCCAATGCAAAACACTCCCCAGATTCCACCGCAAACATTACCGCAGCCAGTTCCATTGACGCAGTCATCCCCAATGTCAGTGCAGCAGCAGAAAGTCAACCTAACCACCCATCATGGGCCGAACAGAAACCCACAGGGTATTACTAGTAATCAGATGGGTAAGCAACGCCAACGACCGCAGCAGCAACAACAGTTTCAACAACCTGGGCGTGGTCATCCACAGCAGCGACAGCAGCATCAGTCCCAATCTTCACAACAGAAGCATGCAAAAGGTATAGGTAGAGGGAACATGATTGTCCATCAGAACCAACCTGTTGATCATTCTCATAAGAATGGCATTTCCATTGCCATGGGTAACAAAGGGGCAGAGAAAGGTGACCAAATTATGCAGCATTTGATGCAAGTTGGTCAAGGTTTATATTCTGGTTCTGGATTAGCACCACCACAACCATCATCGAAGCCAGGAGTGTCGCCTCAATCCTTGAACCATCCACAGCCTCAGCAAAAACAATTTCCTGGTTCATCACAGCACTCGTCAAAACAGCTACAGCAGATGCCCTCGTCTCATTCTGATAGCAGCTGTCAAGGACAGGTCCCGTCGTTGTCAGCTGGTCATGCACAAACAGGCTCTCACCAAGGTGCTATGTCAGCTGTTAGTTGTTTAAATAAGCAGCAACACCAAAAGCATCAGGCTAATCAAGCTCAATCGACAGTTCAGAGGACGGTTCAACAGAAATGTAAGAAGAATTCAGGTTCACCAACCAAGCCACTACCAGATAAGCACGATCAACAGTCACCCGACACTGTTGCACAGATGGGTACCAGTGCGACTACAGCGCCTGTGGTCAGTAATGATTCAGCTAATGTAGTTTCTGTTGGTACTTCTGGTGTTCAAGCACCATGGATTGTGTCTGAACCTACTTTGTACGATTCTGTTAAAACCACCCCTGCTTCCCAAGTGGATCCTATAGGGAGCATGTCTCTTCAAAATACAGCGGCTGGGGAGCCAGTGACCTCTGCCAGCCAAGGCTTAGGCCAACGACAGTTGTCTGGAGGTTTTTCCCAACAGGGGCAAAATCATGCAGCTAAGTGGCAGCAGCAACCACAACCACAAGTCCAACAGTCAACAGCTACTCCATCTCAGCAGATAATACAGCCACAGGAGCAACCCGTACTGCAGGAAGAACAACGTTCACCACAGTTACAGAAGCCACCTCTGCAACAAACACACGTTCAAACTGGGCAAGACAGTTTGTATAGTAGACCGAGCAATGCTAAGCTGGAATGAAAGGTCTTGCTGGATGTACGTAGTTCCAGTAGCCGGTAGCACGGCTTGGGTTTGCATGCTCTTATAGCAGCATTGTACAGGTACATACATTCCCCCATACAGTAAATCGCTTCTGCATGTTAGGTGTCATTCGTTCCGTGGAGTGACTTGATTATATTGGTTCATAAAAGGTGGGAAAAGTAACTGTGGCTTACGTGGCATTAATACAGACGAAGCTGGTACCTGGAAGGGCATTGCAAAGCAGGGAAAAGGATCTTGGTCGGCCTTGGCGCTGTTCGCTCATTGCAGGACCAATTTTATTCTTACCCTCGTCTTTTTTTTTTTTTGACATTTTCCCCAAAAATGTGGGGAAATTCCATGTAAATTACCACTGGGGGGCTAGAGTAGAGCAGTGTGGGGGAAGATGGAGACAAATAGAGAGAGGTATGTGTACAGGGTCTTAGTCTCTCCATTCCTTTTCTCTTGCATCTCTCCCTCTGCCTTTTTTGGCTGGTTTCTCTGCTTTGTCCTGAATGCGCAAAGAGGGGGGAAGGCTGCCTTTTTTTTGTATAAATAAATATTTTGTTAATTAGTAGACTTTCTTCCAGGTAGGTTAGTAATAGCAATCATGTATTATTAACGATTAACACAGTTGAAGAATTAAGTTGGCAGTGATCAATTATCAGTGGGGTAAGAGAAGACAAGAGCCTTGGTAAAGGAACAAAAAGAAGGCAGTTTTGTGGATACAAGGAGGATCTCTTGAATGTTTGTTTGTACAACAGAAAATAATCCATGTTAGCAGTAGAGGTATGTGCCTTTCTAACTGCGATCCTGTCTTTTACCATCTTTTTCTAGGTTCACGTTGTCATTAAAGCTTGTGATATTAGGTGATTCAAACACGCACTGTTTCAACTAGGGCGGTAAACAAGAGTAGAGTCGAGATTTCATTTAGCTCAGGTTCAACTAAAAAAATGAGTTGAGCTAAGCTTAGCTCGTTTACTAAAATTTTTTGCTCAAGTTTAGCTCGAGCTTTCGGCCCTCTATCTAGACCATGAATTAAAACGAGTTTGGGGTACGATACTATACCCTAACCTCTAATGGATAAATCCTAGGCTCTGATTATCTAAACTCAAATCCAAAGTTCAATTTAATAGAAAACACAAAAAAACAGTTGAGATGGGTCGGAGCTCATCGAAGTACATCTAACAGTTAGATCACCTGGAATATATCTACATATATTATATATATAGGTGAGCTCGTCGAAGTATATCTAATGGCTAGATCATCTGGAGTATATCTACACATATGATATATATAGGTGAGTATTTCGTTGCACTCACAAAAATGAGTGTATTCGATGCATCCAACATTAAAATTAGGAATCTTTTCCCCGATTACCCAAGAACCTCAGCCTCCGTGCCACTTTGTGACAGCGGGTCATACTAAATCTAGGGGCCACCTGCAATCAAATTCGACGCCAACAGGGCTTCACCCTTAGCAGCCTTGTACCTCCAGGAACACCAACAGGCCTCGCTTGGATTCGAACTTGGGATCAGCAACTCCCAAGCCTTCACTGTCGTGACAACTTTACCGTTAGGCTATCTTACATTTGGTAACATTAAAATTAGTCTTCAGAGGTCGAATTTTCGATTTTAATTGGTAGGATTAGTCTAATATGATGATATAACACAAGTCAAAACTAATCAATGCATTACCATAAGCCCCAGACCTTCGATTTTGAACTCTAACAAAAAATCCCATATTGTAAACCCTGACTCTAAATCTCTAAACCCTACATCCTTTAAATCAAAGTAAACCCTAAATGATTTTTGTGCAAATTCATGTGTTTTATTCTCCATCACATCACATGTCATGAATTGCTTATTATTATTTTTTATAATGATGACATTCATTAGTTTAATAAAGAAAAGAAATTACAAAGTGGAAATTACATAAGCATGATGCCCTCAAGAACCAATTGCCTTAACTATCGACAGAGCCAAAAACACCAGGCTCACCAAAAACTCAGGGTGACATTCCAATATTATAATACCACTCCCAACGCCCAATGGCACTCCCATCCTCAAACAATACTACCATCCGTAGAGGCTTCTGGGATGCTCTGCAATAAATCAAAACTTGTCGAGTCTGATCCGATCTGAGAAGAAACTAAGTGATCTGCCCAGGCATAGAGCACAATACTCAATCCCTTGCAAACTTCAAATGAAAAATTATCTCCACCACCTTCATCCCGGAGCAGTACTCTGTACTTCATCAGTCGATCATCTCTCCTGGGAGTAAAGCATATTTTCAAGTTTTCCAACCACGTATCGGCGACACTCCTGTCAACTTTCTTTGCGCTTGTAAGCCAGCTATGGATAAGTGTCCCAATTCCGCAGCAAACTACCTTCTCTGTTGTGTTCTTTCCCTCGAAGATTCTCAAATTTCATTCCACAAGGTACTACAGACAGCATGTATTGCAACCTTTGTACACCACCCCTTAGGGTCTTTTGGTTTCTGCTGATCCCACCTATCCAAAATCATAGTAATATTTCCGCTTTGCATCTTGTCCATGTCGAAGAATATGAATCTACTAAGAAGTCTCCACACCTCTTCAGCAAACCTGCAAGTATAAAAAAGGTGATCTATATCTTCCTCCGCACCATGGCACATCACGCACCTACTTGGCATGAACCACCCTTTCTTCTTCAGGTTCTCATGCGTGAGAATCTTCCTTAGGTAGGTCGCCCAGATGAAGAAACATACTTTTAACTGTACTGATTGCTGCCAAATAGTCTTCCCCGGGAAATTTGTATCTCCTGGAAATCTGTCCATAATCAGTTCATAGAGAGACTTCACTGAGAAACCAACATCTGGTTTTGGTTGCCACAAGAGTCTCATGGGTCCAGCAATATTCACATTAGCATGCAAAGAAAAACTCTCACTCACCATAACGATATTCTCAAGTACCATACTGTTAGGATTGACGGCGGCAACAACAACTCTTGGGTAGACTTTCGCAAGTGTTGCAGTTGTAGTCCATTTGTCGTGCCAGAAGGAAAGCCAAGCACATCTAACTTCAAACCTGGCTCTCGACCAGATCAATGGCTTAAGTTTGCTGATCTGACTCCACGGGCGGCACCCCATACTGCCTTGAGCCGAGCCCAACAACCATTATGTATTCGAATTTGGATATTTGAAGGCAAGCAAATGACGCCACCATGCATCTTTCTCAGTTGCAGCCTTCCACCACCACTTGCTCAGTAACACAAGGTTGGGACACTCAAGATCAGGTAAACTGAAGCCCCTTTATTCCTCGGTGTTTTGCAATTTTCCCATGAAACCAAGTGCAATATCTGTTTCACCATCGTGTCGCTCCAAATGAAGTCTCTATGCACTTTTTCCATGCTATTAATAATCTTTCTAGGAGCTTTGAAAAGGGCAAATAAATATGCTGGTTGAGCAGCCAAAACGGAGTTACACAAAATGATTTGCCCTCCCATTGACAGGCAATTTCCTTTCCATCCCGACAATTTCCACTGCAGCTTTGAGAGGCTCTCATTCCATAATGTATTTGTTGAAGCAGTCGCCCCTAATGACATTCCCAGATAAATCGTGGGAAGAAATTCTCAATCACAACCCAACAACTCGACATACCTAATGATTTCTGGCACATCTCCCACTGGAAACAACTTTCTCTTGCCAAAGTTGACCATGAGGCCTGCTGCAATACTAGTTACGTTATCCTCAGTTGCGCCAGTGAATATGATAGCGTCATCAGCAAAAAGGGGGTGTGTTACTTCCCCCAGGCAGCGCCTCTCATCCGTGCAAAAGCCTGTGAAAAAACTGCATCCCGGATCTTCGGCAGTATGAAAGATAACACATCCATCACAATATTAAACAAAAAGGGGGACAAGGGATCCCCTTGTTTAAGACCTCAATGCATACCGAAGAAGCCAGATGACTCTCCAGTCTCCATTGACTAGAACCGAGAGCTTTGGCTATGAAACAATCCCTTTAATCCATTTAGTCAATCTCCAATCAAAGCCTAGGTCGTTTAAGGCTTCCCATAAGCAATTCCAGCTAACCGAATCAAATGCTCTTTCGATATCCAACTTTAGGACAAGATCAAGCTTTCCACTCCTCCTTCTGCTATCGACAAGTTCAATGGCGATGAAGCAAACATGGTGGCTTTGACGGCCTTTTATTCCCGCAAATTGGTTTCGCAAAATCAGCTTGCTCATGAAAGGTTGTACCCGTGCTTGGATCGTCTTTGAGATAATTTTCTTCACACTTCTGATAAGACTTATAGGTCTGAAATCCCCAATCTTTTCTACTGCATCTCTTTTTGGTATTAAGCAAATGAAAGCACGAGAGATATAGTTAGGTAGCCTCCTCGACAGACACAAATCATCCACTACTTTACACAGATCCTGCTTAATTACATGCCATCCCACTGCTAGATAATGTTTCAAACAATTGAAGTAGGGGTACATGGACTGGCCTGGTTGATATTTAAACATACTTGCCCTATATTGCACCCATTTAAGATTTATACTTGGGCCTTAGATGAGATTTTATTGTGATATTTGGAGCGAGTCAACAAACAAGAAAGCTCTTAGGTGCAGATAGCCTAGAGAAAAGAGTCGACAAAACAATGAGCCGAGGAGAAGGAGTCGGATGTCTAAATCCCTGACAACCCTAGCAGACAAAAGGCAGGGGATTGGAAGATAAAGATGCCAAAGATTTTAACCTTCACTTACTAAAGGAGCATCTCAAATCCTCGTACGGGAAAGCCAAAGTCCCCAACGTGCTTCAAAACCCGTTGGAGCAAAGCTTATTCAAGACCCAAGTCCCTTCCAACTTCTCGTCCTTGTGGTTACCAAATTACAGCGACAATAACGACGAGATTTGTGTAAGGCTTTCCCAGTGACATTCAATGGTCATTGCTGAACCTGGTACACCTCTCTCCCCGAAGGAATAATCAAAGGCTTTGATCATTTCGCACGCTATTCTCATCTGAATCTGCAACCCAAAGAAGGCGAAAGCTCACTGTGTCTGCCCTCATAAACTGTAGGCAAAGAAGTGATGAGCTGCTAACAAACTTCTTTGACAAATGGAACGCCATTGCTTGTGAAGTCCAAGGAATTTTTTCAAGCGTGGCAGTAAAAAACCTTCAAATGTCCACACATAGCCATGAATCAAAGAGGGCATTAATCAAGAAGGAGCACAACTTGACATCCTGGCCCGATCTTGACACCTTGTGAGAAAAGCCTCTTACTGGAGGAAGCTTTGGTGCCTGAAGACCGCCCAAAGGTTGCTTGTTCCAAAGCCAAGAATATGGATAAAATAAGAGGAAGATAACCTCAAAAGTGCGGACACACTTCAAAAATAAAGGGCTGCAAACACCTATTCGCCAATCGTGACAATAGATGTAAAGTATTCGCTACAAGCAAAGTGTACGAGGAGATTGCAAGACCAATGTAGTCAAACTCGCGCTTTAAAACTTTAAAACTTATGGTTTTACATTTCTACGCAAAATCATAGTTTTTATAGCTAATGTAGTTAAAAACACGCTTTAAAACTTTAAACTTACAATTTTACGCTTCTAGATCACCAAAACGCTCCTACCTAGAAATGCACTTTTGACTACATTGCGCAAAATGCGCATCAGTCACAAAGAAGGGGGAGAAGATCGAAAGTGGTGCGACTGGCTTCAGTTAGCAACCCATGACACCATAGAGTGTCGCGAATTCATGGCAATCTAATATACCTAGCACCGGTGATTTGAGGAACCACCTAGATACGTGAAGACAAGACAAGGAAAAGCTGGCGGAGATGAGAGACAAGTTTCAAAGTCCCAGAAGATCTCAAACGCCCAGACGAGGAAGATCTAGGTCACCTAGACGGGAAAGACTCCCTCCATCTCCAAGGCTCATTCCTTCCTATAGGCAGCCTTGTCTAAATGAGAACGATGTAGAAATGATAATCATAGTAGGATGACAACAAATGCCCAAGAACGGAAGGAGATTTCCTTGCACATGTCTGAGCGTCCACAAAAGCGAGCAAGTATAGATAAAATTCTCATAGTCAAAACTAGCATAAAAAATGTTGAAGACCCTCTTGTGATCTCCTTTAGAATGAGGATGTTCAAGATCACAAGGGCGCTTGTCGACAATGGAAACTCAGTAGATATTCTTTTCTATTAGACCCTGGAGAGCCTGAAGAAAAGCGTTCAAGACCTTAAGCCCTGAACGACCTGCCTTGTCGGGTTTTCTGGGTCCAAGGTCCGAGTGTTGGGGTACATCACAATCAAGGTGATGATTGGGGAAGCATGAGTCACAAAGACATGCCTAATGGATTTTCACATGGCGGTTTTCTGGGTCCAAGGTCCGAGTGCTGGGGTACATCACAATCAAGGTGATGATTGGGGAAGCATGAGTCACAAAGACATGCCTAATGGATTTTCACGTGGCAGATTGCCCGTCTGCCTACAATGCAATCTTGGGATGTGGCTTCCTAACAACTTTTTTGGCGGTTACCTCCATGTGCCACCAGGTGCTCAAATTTCTTACTGCTAGAACGATTGGTCGTGCCTAGGGAAACCTGCAGAATGTTAGCAAGCAACCATTGAAAATCTGGAAGTAGATCTTGTTGACAATCGAGGAAACGCCCTTTAACCTGAAGCAGTTGAAGAAGATGATGTTGTTGCATTAGATGACGAAGGGCCAGAGAAGAAAGTTAGAATACCATCTCATCTCATAGAAGAAGAGGCGAGGAAGCTCTTGATACTCCCGAGAGAGTACATGGACCTCTTTGCGTAGAGTTCAGAATACATGCCAGATATCTCTCGAGACCTCGGCGAGCACCACCTGTCAGTAAAGAGTTGGGCAAAGCCATTGCAATAGAGGAGGAGGAACGTTTCCATAGAAAAGAAAATGGAATTGGAAGTAGAAGTAGGTGAGATATCCCACCTGGCTGGCAAATCCGGTCTTCATTCGCAAAGCATCAGGCTTATGGAGAATGTGTGTTGACTTCAACAATCTCAATGTGGCTTGTCCTAAAGATGCATATTCACTTCCTACAATTGATTGGCTAATAGATGCTATGGACAATCCTAAAGTCTTGAGCTTCCTGGATATGTTCTCTAGCTTTCATCAATATGGTTTTCTGACGAAGATCAAGAGAAAACCGCTTTCATGACCCACATGGGAAACTTTTGCTGCATGGTTATGCCGTTTGGGTTGAAAAACGCTGAGCAATATACCAACAAATGATAGAGGAAATTTTCAAAGGCCACTTGGGAAGGAATGTGGAAGCATACGTGGACGAAATTCTCATGAAAAGTAGGAAGGCAGGTTGATATGATCCCAAATGGTCCATTAAACACGTTTAATTTACTTGACGAAGAAGCTATCGAAGTTGGGAAGAAGAAGGGAAGAATTTGGCCAAGTCAAAATCCGTGTTCAGGGTACATACTTTGGAGGCATGGTTCTCTCAATTGGCTTGGTGGAAATTCAAGTTTAAGGGTTTCTTTTGCAGATAAAGTTCCCATCTTTCCAATGATATGCTTTTTGGATCCAGATGATGTCATTAATGTTGTTTTCCAAGGCCCCAAAGTTGCTACCTCAAAACTGGAAAACTGCCAGAAAATGGCCAAGGCAGAAAACTGTTTTGAGATACCAACTTTGAAGACCTATATCTGGAGTTTGCAATATGATCTCAGGCTGGTTCAAGTTGGATGTGAAAGAGGGAGTTTTCTTCTACAAAGGCAAGGAATTGGTAGAGTTCGAATCAACCTAGAAGACCATTTTCAAAGGGCTCAAAGATGCTATGAAGCTTGTGTTTTAAGTCAGTTTCTTGGCCTGCAAGTTACCTTGTTTTACACGAATTCTTTAGCCTTTTCCTGTTCTAATTGGTTTCCTTGTTAGTTTAGAATTGTATTAGGTTTTCTCTGGCTATAAAAGCCCTCTAGTTTTTTGTTGTAATAGTTAGATTTTGAAGAATTGAATTGGAACCTTGGGGTTTTTGCAAGTTTGCGTACTTGTGTTGAGTTTGGTGGATTCCAAGCTCGTTGAGCTCTTGTATCAATCAAGAACGCGTTGATCGTGGCCAGTCATCTACCTTTATATCATTCGAGCCTTCTTCCACATGAAAGATTGCACGTTTGATTCCGTTTTATCCAAACACCCAAGAATATCCTTATTTTTTTGTTCGAAATTCGTTTTAATCAATCCGATCCTTGGATTGATTGTGTTGCTGCGTACTTTGGTAAAAATCCAACCCTCAAGGGTTGCATCACAGGTGGTCACCTTGAATGCATATCCGGAGCAAAGGCAACTGTTTCTAGGATTTATGATCACTAAGAGGAATTTAAGCAAGCCCCAAGCAAATAGAAGCAATACTCAACCTAACACCGCCAAAGACTATTAAGTAGATCCAGACATTCAATGAAAATATGACAACTTTATGTAAGTTTATTTGCCAGTGAACAGACAAGTGCCCCCCTTCTTCCAGATGTTGAAAAAGTCAGCATCTGACTCACGTGGGGAGCAAAATGCGACATAATTTTTTCAATTGACTGACTAACTAGCCTCACGTCCAGAGTTAAGCTCCCCAATCAATGGAGAACCGCTTTACTTGTATTTGGAAGTATGGGAGCAAGCGGTTAGCTCCGTGTTAGCAAGGAAGGTCGAAGATGGCTTGGACCGCCCAGTTTATTACATCAGCACAACGCTTTTCCCTACAAAAAAGATATACATGCCAGTGGAGAAGGAATTGTTGGCAGTGGTCTCGACCAAAGCAGTCAAAATTGGGATTTTATCTAAAATAAAAAAACTGGGGGAAAATCGGAATCGTAAAATCGAATCGTAGAATCGTTGGATTTTAAGTACCACATAGAAATTAACATATAATAATATTAATAAGGTAAATCATTAATAATGCAAAGACATATAACATTTAAAGTGATAATTTTCAAGATTAATGTTCCAAAATCATCATTTTAATTGTTATTTAACGCGTAACTCAATATAATTTATGAGGAAGGGATAGAGCTCATGGGGTTTGGCTCTTGTTTTTCATGTTGTGTCTAGGTAGTTTAACTCAAAGTAGTATTCCGACATTGTCTACTAAGCATGATTTAAAATTAAGAATAAGTGAACTCCAATAAGAATTTTAATGTCATTGGTTTGGTACAAATATATTCATTAATCAATTAATTTGTTAATAATGATGTTAATTCTTTCGTACTTACAATATTATGATAACTATTTTACCGACGAGTTAAACAAGGGGAAGGGAAAGTGGTTG